GCCAGGCCCAGGGCAGCGCCCGCCGCGCCCCGCAGCCGCCTCATCCCCGGGCTCGCCGGGCCCCGGCCCCGAGCCCCTCACCGGCGCTTCCGCTTCCGCCGCTTCCGGCGCCGCCATTTTGGTTTGGGGCAGGGCGCGCGCGCGCGGCCATTTTGGAACGCGCGGGGCGGTCACATGACCCGGGTCCTGTAGCTGCAGCTGGACAAGACCAGAAGCAGCCCTGCTCCTTCAGATGCAGTCGTTGTGCCTGCACACACACCACCCCTGCACAGGGAGCCAGGCACGACCCAACCCGTGTTATCTCAAGGCAGCGTACCAGAAATAAGTCCAGTAGTTGGGAATATTCCCCCCCCCCCCCCCAAAAGCACACCCCCCCAATAAGTCCAAGCAAACAAAATGCAGGCCGCAAAGGTGCAGAGGTGACTCCCCGCAGCCACAGAGAAGCAGCAGCCAGCACAGTCGTGTTGTGGCCGGTCCCGTCGTTTGTTCGAGCCGGCCCGGAGCGAGGATTTCACAAATTCTGAGGAAACGCTCCGAGAATGACCGGATCGAAGCTCGCGAGTTACCCGCCTCCAACGAGAACACGCTGGAAAAGCTCAAGTCTCGCTGCTCCGTTTTCTTCCTCCAAAATACAATTCTTCTGCAAAACTAATGTGGGTCCAGTTTAAAAATCCGTGCAGTCTTAGGCTCTCAACAGTTATTTTCAGCAATGAGAAAAAAGCGTGGTCCATCTCCAGCACCAACCCCCTGAGTATCCCAGAAACCAGAGATTCGTATCCAGGCACAATTATGTTTCAAGCAGAAAGCAGCAAAAGTAAGCTGTCCTTATTAGGCAGGAAACTTGCCTAGAATGAAGTGTTAAGTCAGTCCACAATGCATATCCACACATACTGGAAAGGTAGCCGATAAGCATTTTTTGATTAAAAACTTTTATTGACAAAATACAAATCTTATTTAGAAATCAGAGTAAAAAATGTCAGTAGTGTTTCGATGTATAAATATGACTGGCACATATAATAACTTTAGCTGAATCCTTATAGTACATAATTCTTTTTCAAGGTAGTGTTTTATCTTCATCTGTTCCTTAATAGCACTGCCTCATAATGTTTGGGGGAAAAGCAAGGATAGATCACAAACATGCTAAACAGGATTGATTTATAAAAGTTGGTGAGTAAAGCAAACTGTCCCTTATGCCAACCACACCATAAAGAAGACTTAAGATGTGCGGTCAGTTCCCAGTGCTTGCGACTGAAACCAGCTATCTGAACAAGAAGCCTCAATGGATTTTACCCAACAACCTTTTACATCAATCCCACAAGGCAGGAGAAACACCAGCATGAGAACAAACTGGGTATCCAACTTCACATATCAAAAAGCTAAAAGTACAGGCTACCTCCTCCATTGTAGGGACACTGTCACGGATTTTGCTTTAGGGCATGGTTTTTTTCTCAGCATTGTTGAAAAATACTCCCCTAACAAGCTGGATGCCTCACACTGCTAACGCTGTTTGGCACCAAAGGATTTGTTCATAATGGCACTGCATAAAACCAGGTGATAAGGACCGGACATCTGGTTCTCTCACCTATTGGTTCAAACAGAGCTGAATGCACCAAAGATGTTTGTAGCCTAAGGAAACTGCCCCCCCACAACGTATTCACCATTCAAAGCAGGTCTGACGATATTCCCAACTACAACACCGAGGAAGGGTCCTGAAGACATAAGAGTTCTGTTTAAAAAGTGCCATACAATACCGAGATCATTTCCACATCAAATAACAACGTGGTGAAAACCGGCATAGCACGTGTACCAGGGTTCTACTGCACAACCAACAATCAACACCCGGTCTGAGAATAATCACATGTTAAACAATGATCCATAAGGGGCAACTTCTCCATAGACACTTCTTTCCTAACTGAAAAGCACAGGCCTGAAGTCTAAGGCTCTGCAGTCACTCAGTGGCACAGAGCCAGGAACAGAGCTTATTGTTGACTACGTTTGAGCTAATAAATGAATATATGGCAAACTGAAGACAAAGGAAGAAGTGTGCTCCCTAAATGCAAGGTGTTACCCAAAGGAAGTAATGTATAGTATAGGGCGTTACATGGTCGTAATAGAGCTCTGTGTCTTATTAATACTTATTTTTTGCTAAAGTACAATTCTTCCCTCTTTGCGGATTCTTGCACAAAGTCTTTTTAGGAGCCGTAGCTACTGAAAGTTTCCGCTGGATAAAAATGAAAGTGATTGCCACTTATTTAAATCAGACAGACAATTAAAAATGGTATTGCTCTCTTTTCTAAAAAAAAAAAGAAAAAGTGCTTGAAAAATAATAAAAAATTTTGGTTTTCCCTGAGCTTCTTAAGTTCATTTGCTGCTTTGCAGATTGCAGCATCATAAAACATTACTATTCCTAATCAAAATCAGCGTTGGGTATAGTTTTGCATCCTTTTCGAGAATACAATTTTTCCTCCTCGGGGAAGTAGGTAATTTCATCAGCTACTCTGCTTACAATGTCTTCATCCACAGGGTAACCACGTGTTTCCATTTCCACCCTGACACACATTTTCACATGTTTATACTCCAGAGGTAGGAAGGGGACAAAGAAATCAATGAGGTTTCTGTCTATCAGTCTGCTGTGCCAAAAGCCACCTGCAAAAAAAACAGAAGAAAGCACAAGCTTAGATACCCGAGGCATCTACCTCATTTGTAAAGAGGAAGAAAGCTGCGACATAACATTTCACTAAGCAGAGCTACCCATCATGTTGTGAAGGTGCAGAGCAAATGTTACTGAGGGTGCAGGAACAAACCATCCCAATGCGCAGGAAGACTAGCAAGTATGGCAGAAGAACAGCTTGGCTTAGCAGGGAATTCCAGTGAGCTAAAACACAAAAAGAAAGCTTACAAAAAGTGGAAACTTGGACAAATAACTATGGAGGAGTATAAGAGCATTGCTCAGGCATGCAGAGATGAAATCAGGAAGGCCAAAGCACAATTGGGGTTTCATCTAGCAAGGGACATGAAGGATAAAAAGAAGGGTTTCGACAAGTATGTCAGCAACAAGAGGAAGGTCAGGGAAAGTACGGGTTCATTACTAAATGGGGGAGGCAACTTAATGACAGAGGGTGCAGAAATGGCTGGAGTGCTCAATCCTTTTTCACCTTAGTCTTCACAGGCAGGTTCAGCTCCCAGACTACTGCACCTGGCAGCACAGTTTGAGGAGAAGATGAGCAGCCAACAATGGCAAAAGAACAGGTTAGGGACTATTTAGAGAAGCTGGATGTGTACAAGTCCACGGGGCTACACAGGGTACACCCAATGGTGTTGAGGAAGGGTGATTGCAGGACCACTGGCCATTATCTTTGAAAACTCCTGTTGACTGGGGAAGGTCCCAGACAATTGGAAAAGAACAAATATAGTGCCCATCTTTAAGAAAGGGAAGGAAGATCCAGGGAATTACAGACCCATCTGCCTCACCTCAGTCCCTAGAAAAATCATGGAGCAGATCTGCAAGTAATCCATTTCTAAGCACTTGGAAGAGAAGGTGATTAGGAACAGTCAGCATGGATTTACCAACGGCAAGTCATACCTGACCAACCTGATTGCCATCTATAATGAGATGACTAGTTCTGTGGATGCAGGGAGAGCAGTGGGCACGATATACCTTGACTTTAGCAAGGCATCTGATACAGTCTCCCACAATATTCTCTCAAGCAAATTAAGAAAGCACAGGTTGGATGAATGGACTGTAAGGCAGATAGAAAATTGGCTGGATTATTGAGCTCAGAGGGTAGCAATCAATAGCTCAAAATTTAGTTGACAGCCGATATCAAGTGGAGTGCCCCAGGGGTCAGTCCTGGGGCCAGTTTTGTTCAATATCTGTATCAGTGACCTGGAAGATGGGATGGAGTGCACCCTCAGCAAGTTCATGGATGACACCAAGCTGGGGGGAGTAGTAGATACACTGGAAGGTAGGGCTAGGATTCAGAGAGACCTCAACAAATTGGAGGTTTGGACCAAACGAAATCTCTTGAGATTCAATAAGGACAAGCGCAGAATCCTGCACCCATGATGGAACAATCCCATACACCAGTATGGGCTGGGGACTGATTGGCGAAGCAGCAGCTCTGCAGAAAAGGACCTGGGGGTTATAGTGGATGTGGCAGAGCACCAGTGGGTGCTCGCCACTTTAGGGCTGTCACAGGCTCTGGGGGAGCCTGTTTTGGGGAGCAGCAGGGAAAAGCCTTCCCTGTTAAACATTGTAAGGGCTCTGCCACTTTAAGACCTGGATCAGACAGCAGGCAGGTGCAGTCCAGCCCTGATGAGCAGCTTTTTAAGTACCACACCAGCAGGGCTGGGGGCAGTACTCTGCTGTCAGATATGGAGGAAGTAACGTCTCCTGGAAGAGCTGCTGCTCTGAGAACAGCTTGGAGACAAGGGTGAGGCTATGGGGAAGAAGGAGGCCTTAGTGGTCCTGGGCATGACCTAAAACTGCACCCTCCTGAGCTAGGGAGGCCTGGTGGTCCTGCCTGTGGCAGGGCAGGGCCAGCAAATTCCAGGATCAAGGACCTCCCTGGTGTATGGTGGGTTGGGGCACCTAAAGCCCTGCCCCTCCACCACTCGGTGGATCACAGTGATAACATGAGAGAGTAGTGGGGCCAGGGACATCCATAAGGGACACTTGTGCTCATTGGGATGCAAGATCCTGAAGGGGAGTAGTGGAGGCCAGGTTTGCTTTGAGAAGCGCCTGAGCCTGAAGGGATAGAAGACCCCGTAAGAGGAGCAGTTCAATCCCTGAGAGAGGGGGCGAGCTGTGGGCCAGGCACACCGATGAGTGGCACCTGAGTCCGTGGGAGTGTTTGACCCCAGGGCACAGGGCAGAATAAATGCCTCAGTGGAGGTGCCATTGCAGAAGGGGACCTGAAGGGCTGCACGGGGGTGGCAGCTGTGAAGCCCTGTGAGTGAGGGGCATGAGTTGGGGCCTGTGAGCAGGGGCTTTAGTAGAGGCCCTGCTAGCATGGGGGGGCCTGATTTAGGTCCAGGTAAGCCTTCGGGGGCCAGAGGCCAGTTGGAGGGTGGCAGAGGAGCTGCAAGGAAAACGGGGGCGAGCCACCAGCCCCTGGTGGAGAGCCCCTTGATGGGGGAGTTACCCAGCAATGTGATGGGGGCAGAGTCAGCACAGCACGTGGTGAGCTGCCCAGCGCTTGCTCACATGAGGATAGTGGGAGATGCCCAAAAGGCTGTGCGCTTGCTGGCCAGGGAGTGAAGAGTAGCAAGTCTGAGGACCCTCTGGGTGAGGGAAGGGTGACTGTGATCCCTGTGAGAGAAGGGGTGGTACAAGTGAGGCCCAGGAAGGGCAGAATGAAAGATGCTGGGTGAGAGCCAGTGGAGAGTGAGAGGCCTCTGAGAGGGAGGTGGTATAAGTGTGGCCCTAGCAGGGCAGAGTGACTGAGAATCAATGCTGTGACGAGTTGGGCCCGGCCTCAGGCTGGAGCTTAGCACAGCTGCTGTCAACATCTGCAAGGCATAGGACACATAAGGGTGGTCTGAGTGTGTACGTTTGGCCCTTGTCAACAGGGCAATCAAGGGTAGCCTCCTGCCTAATTAACAACTCAATTATTTACAACCAAGGCATGGCAGGCAGGCAGCGTTGCCCAAAGCCAGGTGGGTGGCCAGTACTCTGGTCGGGGAGCTCCCACTTGTCACAGTGGACAGTAAGCTGGATATAAGCCAATTGTGTGCCCTTCTTGTGAAAAAAGATAACAGCATACTGGGCTGCATTAGTAGAAGTGTTACCTGCAGATTGAAGAGGGGAAGAATTGCTTCCTATTCAGCACTGGTGAGGCCACATCTGGAGTACTGTGTCCAGTTTTGGACCCCCCCACAAGGATGTGGACAAGTTGGATAGAGTCCAGTGTAAAGCAACAGAAATGGTTAGGGGACTGGGGCACATGACTTCTGAGAAGAGGCTGAGGGAACTGGGTTTATTTCATTTGCAGAAGAGAAGACCAGAGGGGATTTGATAGCAGCCTTCAACTCCTTGAAGCGGGGTTCAAAAGAGGATGGAGCTGGACTATTCTCAGTGATGGCAGAAAAAGGAGCAATAGGCTCAAATTGCAGCAAGAGAAGTTGAGGTTGCATATTAGGGACAGTCTCAGTAGGATGGCAGTAAAGGACTGGAACGGGTTACCCAGAGAGGTGGTGGAATCTCCGTCCTCGGAGGTTTTTAAGGCCTGGGTAGACAAATCCCTGGCTGGGATGATCTAGTTGGGGACAGTCCTGCTTAGAGCAGGGGGCTGGACTAAATGACATCCTGAGGTCCCTTCCAACTCTAATTTTCTATGACAACAGCTCGGTGCTATGGGCAGCACACACACTGGAGAGCATTCTGCCAAAAAGATACAAGTAATTTCCTGAAGATTCAAAGCACGTGAAACAACGAAGCTTCATGGGGAAACCTACAAATCCCGCTGAGGACCACCCCAAGAGAAGTATTTGATTCACAAGTATTCTTCAAAGCAGAAAGACAGAAAACCAATGCAATACCAGACAGGGATGCAGAACCACCAATCCAAAGAGGGATTTACAAACCCATGGTCATCAATTGCACTCACTATTCTTATTATTGAAAACTGAATGAGACACCACATCATTCAGTTCTTTGAGGCTTATGTCTTCCCTTTTCTTTCCACTTCTCCAGCAATCCAGTGCCACTTCTGTTATCTTTTCTGCCCCTGCATTGCTGTGTAAAGGAGAAAAAGGTCATGAGCTGGATGCTGCTTCACAGGGCCCTCAGGCTTAGCACTGTAACCAATTCAAGGCCATTCCTTACCTGAGAAAAATGAAGATGGCTTCTTGATAAGACACGCCATCAAGCTTCTCGTAATAATCTAAGAATGGTTTAATGGAATCTATGAGTCCTGGAGGCATTTTATCCACTTCATCAAATATGAACATTGACTGGGCACAATCGCTCACATTTCCCCGAATCCAGGACTGCAGGTCCTCCTAAGGTGCACAAAAGTACATGGAGCTTACATCCTTGTATACAAAATGACACTGAAGATGCAGAAAGTGCAAGGACTTTAGATCCTTTATTTTCTATAAAAGATCATAAAATTGGCACCTAGCAAAGCATGGATTTCTTCACTGAAATCTGCTTCAGAGCAACAAATAATGATGAAATAAAACTACAACAGATTTGCCTAAGGGTTCTTAAAATTAACCTTGAGACCTCAGAAAGTGAGTTGACAGAAATAATCTGCTCTTAGGAAAAGACATTGTGCAAGCATCAGCAAAAAGGATATGTAATAGGGCCAGGCCCTGTTCCTACAGGTGTGGAGGAGCCTGAACACCCCCACACCCTGAAAGAATTCCCCCACACCCACCCCAGACCTGGAGGGACTTGCCAAAGGCTGAGGACCCAGTAAGCCTCCCAAGCAAGAGAGCTAACCCAGGTGTGAAGAATGAGGGGGAGCCAGCCACATGAATCAGCAGGGGAGAAAATAAAAGATGCTGAAAGCAGCCTCTGGTAGAGCAAGGCTGCCTGGAGCCTGGGTTAGCTGAGGTCTAGCAGCCATAGAGAGGTTCTCTTCCTTGTCTGTGTGTCTATTTGTTTGCACAAGCCCTGCAGGCCTGCAAAGCCCCTGAAATATAAGAGGCTATAGGGCAAGTGAAACCTGAGAGTAGCCTAGCAAGCCGGAGGCATGAAACCAGCAAAAAGCTAGTAGCAGTTATTTAACTCTCTTTCTTTTGCACCTCTTGCAAGCCCAGGGTGGTGATACTATGGACTTAACTCAGCTGCAGCAGAGGTGAGGACCCTGAACAGTGGGTCCTTAGATAAACCCAGCAGCAAAAGTAAAAGTGGTCAGCTCAGGGTGCCTGACGAAACACGCCTAGATCCGCTCCATGCAAAAGCTACCCATAACAGCGTACAGAACAGTACTTGAGCCAAAAAATGAGAATTAATAAGAACTGGAGAGCTAATAAGACCATGTAACACCCTACACAGTACACTACTTCCTTTGGGTGGCACCTGGCATTTAGGCGGCACACTCCTTCCTTTGTACTCAGAGTACCGGACATCCACTTATTAGCTCAAATGTAGTCAACAAGAAGCTCTGTTCTTAGCTATGCCAGTCTTAGATAGGACTCTACCTTCCTATACAGCCTCAGATAGGAACAAAATCTAGAATTCACGATTCCTGGTCTTATCTTTTAACCACTAACACGATTGAATTGGAGGGAATTTAAAACATTTGAAAACGTGGTTTTGTTCAGGAAAGTGGCTAACCTTATTCAAGTGTTTTCTTATATTGTATAAGAATTTACCACTATTAAATGCATTTTTTGCTTTCATCGCTTAAAGAACAAGACAGGCTGATTTAATAGCCAGGTAAGGGGCTCAAAAAAAGTAGTGGCTCATAATTTGGAGGTCTGCTATTCACTTTGTCCCAGCATGTAGGTGAGGCAATGCCAAGAGCCTGCCCGGTTGTTGCCACGGTTAAAATGAGCTTCAGTTTCTAGCACTGGCCATGGTGATATATTTCACGAGAGGTTTGTTGACTTAAAAGCCAAAGAAGCATATTGGAAGGGCTGCCAGGGCGAACAAGAACAAGCCTTACAAGACGACATGTCCAAGGCAAGTAGACTTCTAGCTCTGTAAATGGCCTGCCAGACCGTCTGTTCCTCTGAGACTTCAAAATAAATATGCTTTTTGAGGACATAACACTTTGAAATATTTTCAGTGTCTAGGCATTCAGAATATAATATAAATATTTAATCAAATAACTCACAGATGGGAAAGCATCATCCACAGTTCACAGAAAGAGAGGAGGGTGACTTGTCCAAAAAAAGGTCAATGCCAAAGTCAGGACAAGAACTCAAAGACCTGCCATTTTTGTGACCCTTGCACACGAACTGTCCCTCTCAGGTAGTTTTATGACCCCATTACTGGATCCCCTGAGCACTTCATGATCTTGTACATCTAGCCCCAACATTCCTTGTGAGATGCTACCCCTATCTTACAGTTGAGAAATAAATCCCAGTCTCCACTTCCAAGCTTTGGTCATGCCCTGTAGCTGTTATTTGTGCATGTTTTCTGCTATCTCCAATGGAGTTTCAATCTATTATCTTATACAACAGTGAACATGAAAGGTCTTGCACTTTCCCTCTGCAGAGGCATGTAAAAATACATAAAGTTGTCTTCTAAACCCTTCAGAAAAGACAAAAGGGCTATTCCTCACAATCAATCCTTAAGTGTGACTCGCTCCACAACGTGCCCTTACCATATATTGCTCAATTTTACTTTTGTGTGGAAAATGCAAAGTGGACACAAACAGATGGACGTATTTGCTGTTCAAGCCTGCCTTGTAAATGTTCTCTGCAATGATTCTACTGACGTAGTTCTTGCCTGTGCCTGTCCAGCCATGCAACGAGAGGGTGAGAGGCTTTTTGGGGTTTGCATTGTTCAGGAAGCTGGTCACTGCTTTCACAACCACCTTCTGCACGAGGTGCTGGCCGAACAGCCTCTTCTGGAAATCCTTCTGCAGGGCTGTGACGAAAACACCAGCCAGGGAACACAAAAAAAGGAGACAGCAGGTTTAAAGTCAGAACTTGGGAAGAGAAAGCCCTTTCCTAACGCAGACCTGAGGACACCCGGCTTTACCCCTTCAAGGCAAGGGGTCAAAGGGCTGGGCTGGCTGGAACAGAAGCAACTTTCCTCCCTAATGCAGAGATGTGGCCTGGGGAGACTAAACCTGCATGTGGGATGGGCTGATTCTAGGGGCGGCACTGGCCAGATAGCAATGAAACCTACACCCCCTCCCCGCTTTACTAGAGCCTAGGGCTTGGGACTGATACACACCCTGCCTTTGACAATGGTGGGATAGCGGGGTGCCAGAGTCCATACTAGGAGTGGGCAATTCATAGATTCAATTATTTCACCTGGTGGGCCACTTCATGAGTTTTGGTGAGCTGTCAAGGACTGCACATACAAAATCTTTCAGAAGATACCATTTTAACAAATGACAGAGAAAAACAAACACAGTAAAAGCTCTGTTATGCAGCATTCCCTGGGAATGGGGGATGCCGGTTAATCAAATGTGCACCATCTGGTGCACTCCCCGGCATCAGTGAGCCAGGGGAGGGCCCCGCACAGGCTGCTTTGCCCTGGGCCATGGGCCAAAGAAGTGGCAAAGAAAAACTTGGCTCGCAGCGATGAAACGGGAAGGCCCCCGGAAGTGGTACTTCCAGTTTTGCTTTTGCTGTGTCCCTCGGATGCCGGTTAATAGAGTTTTCTGGCTAATAAAATGCCGGTTAACACAGCTTTTGCTGTAATATGCTAAAAAAATCAAACAACTAATGTAGCATATTTTAAATTTAATTTAAAAAAAATATTGTCCTGATTTGTTTTTGCATTGTGTATAAAGTGACTGCATAACAGCTCAAAATAATCTTACTCTTGTATATTGCAGGGGGTGGGGTGTAGTAAGCTGCCCATGGGCTAGGTCCTGGGAGCCAGCTGGGGTGGGGGGAGAAAGGAAGGGGGGTGCATGCAACAGCCTCGCAGGGCAGGGCAGGTGTGGCTGCCCCCAAGGCTCCCCCCGCATAACTGCCCTCAAGATGCTCAGCATAGGGTTGAGCCCTGGTTGCTGCTACCTACACCCACTAACTAAACTACATTGCTGGGGCCTTGGCCCTAGCTAGTGCACACAGCTTCCCAGTGGGGCTGCCTTCCTTCCATTCAGCCTCCCACTAGTGCTTACTCATCATGCTGGGCAGCCAAGTGGCTGGAAGGCAGCCAGGAGCTGGAGCCCCGCACACTGGGGTAGGAGCTGCCAGGCTGCAGCTCCAGCTCCCCATGCATCTGGCTGGGCATGTGGTGCTCAGCACATGTCCCCACAACCGCTGTTGTACCATGTGCAACCTGCTGCCCAGAGCAGCGCAGCAGGGGAAGGAGGAGAAAGAGGCTGGAGCTTTGAGATGAGCAGCACCCTGCTCACGCTTATTCAGAAGCATCACATAGTTGGGATGAACCAAAAAGGATTTTGCCCATAATCCCAGCCTAATCTCAGGTCTTTCTTCAGGGCTATGTACTTGATATGTAATATTATTTTACATTTTATTGGTAAATGTACACTTTTGATGGCATCCTAACTCTTTACCTTGTGTAAACTGTTACTAATAGGGGTGCAGCACCAGCCATGTTGTCCGACAGTCCTTTTACAGGACCGACACCTTGGACAGCAGAGTCCAGCCAGTAAATCTGTGGGGGTGGCAGAGACAGGCCCCCGTGCTGAGGGAGGGAGTGGGACAGGGGCTGCCCAACCAAAGCAGCAGATGCGACCCCAGGGCTGTGAGTGGGATAGAGCCACGGGCGAATCGTCCAGGGGGCACAGGGTGGTGGGCAGCTCCCTGCCGTTGCATGCACCCCTGGGGGCGGCACACACCTCCCGCACTTGTGCATGGGCGGGCTGAAGACCAGGGGCTGGGCCAGGGCTGCGCTTGGGGCGGGTGGCAGCATGGGGAGGGGAGGGGGCCTGCGGGGAATCTTGGGGAGGCGGTAGCCCCTCCCCCTGCTCAGGCGTCCCCGCCGCGGTGCAGGCAGGGGGCGTGTGGTCAACGCCGGGCTGGAG